ACTTTTCTTCCAAATCCTCCCTGTATTTGGGTTTATATATACTACATATATTGCCCTTAGACTGTAGTGCAAAAAAAGGCACCAGGAAAATAAACCTTTTCAGTAACTTCCTGGAAATGCTGACCAATAATTCCACATGTAAACCTCTTCTGTGGTCTTTCCCTCCAGTCTGTCTTAATTAAAAACCCGCAGCAAATGTGGCTTTGGCAGAGCCACTTCCTCATCATCTTGATCTAGATCATCCTGTGTTGTTCAAATAAAACAACTTACTTGGGTCTGCTCTTGGCTTTTGTCTTTCAGCTTGTACTTAAATCTGGTGCTGGGAAATGTGAATGTCACCCTCCTGAGTAACCAAGCAAAGTGAGTGAGCCTCCCCACATGTGTGAATTTGGATTTCTCTGGAGCCAGCTGTGGGTGTGGACTGAAGCCCAGAGAGGGGAATGGGTTTCTCTTAAACCTGATAAGTGAAATGTTGAGGGTGGGTGATTGGACTATGACATGGGGATAAGCTAACATCTTATATAGCTCAAATTGATTCCATCCATCGCTTGTTTTTAAGTCCAGCTCAGCCTGTGGCCTTAATGGTAAAAGTGTTTGGAGTTTTTTGGTGATGAAAAATGGTACTGTGACTTCTAGACATACAGTGTTCCAGAAAATGGAGATATATATGTATATTTTAAATCTTGTTGTGCCAACCCAGCAACCAGCTCTGATGCACTTAAGGCATTGTGTTGCAGCTGAGACAGACCCTCCCTGCAGGCAGAATGCTGCCTTTCATCACTGTCTGTTTTTAAGTGTTTCAGCAAAACGTATTGGCATTTGGCTTCTGGCTTGGCATTTGGCTTTGTTTGTGGTCTGGAAAAGGTGAAGCCACATTCCAGTCAAACATCTGTTTGTGTCCATAAACAGCACCTGTTTCCTTCCAGGTTTGCCTACAAGGACGAGTATGAGAAGTTCAAACTTTATCTGACAATTATCTTGTTACTCGGGGCTGTTGCCTGCAGGTTTTTTCTCCACTACAGGTAAGCTGCAGTTTTATTTCTTATCAAGTATTTTGCATATAATTGTGCTGGATTTGAATTATCTTATGTATTGTTAAGGACAGTGAGACAGCTCAGGTGGTGTTAAGGCTTCGAGCAATTGGGCAGCAGGACACCTGCAGCTCTGGCAGGAACTATACTTTAGCTAATTATTTTTCCTTTTTAAAAGAGTCTTTTGTAACTGAGGAAGCCCAACATTGTGTTTTCTGATGATGTTGTTATTCTGGCATCAAGCTGTCCTTGGGAACAGTTGGTTTTGCTTATGGGTTGTCCCAGGCAAGAACCAACACTGTGCTGCAGCTCTGGGGTAACAAAAGAGAATATGTGTGAAATAATCAGACCTGAAGCATTATCTCTAGGTTGTGATAAAGTGTCTGAGCACCAACAAGCTTCCACTATTCACTTTTGATTAAAAACCAAGAAGGTGTTGCAGCCATGCACTTCCACTATGGTCTATGTGTGTCTGGGTGAATACAGGATCATCCCAGGAATGATGTTGCCCAGTGCAGAGGCTGTTCCAAATTCCTTTGGTGTCAGGAGTTTGCAGATGACAAAATAAAGTTTTGGTGTTTTGGGTTTTTTGCCCCAGAGCATAATGCTCTTCCATTCTTTTAGCTGATTGGATTTATATAGATCTCATGGAATCTCCTCATTGAATTAGCCTGGAAAGGCCTCTCTAAATTGGATCATCTGCTGCTTCTGTGGTGCTTTCTCTCCTTGAGCAGCACTTAATGTCATCCCTGCATACCTGCTTATCAGCTCAGGATCTGCAGTGTTGGATCACAGGGGAAAGGCAGCCTGGCAGTGCTGCATCTGGGTTAGAGATGTTCAGGATGGGACTTCGTGTCCGTAGCTTCACTTGGGCAGGTTTTCATCTACCCAGGAAGAGAAAGGAAAAATAGGGATTTTTAAAATGCATCTTTATAATTAACAAGATGGTTTTTTACTCTGTTTTTTCTGTTTAACAGGGTGACAGATGAAGTGTTTAACTTTCTGTTGGTGTGGTATTACTGCACGCTGACGATACGGGAAAGCATTCTCATTAGCAATGGCTCAAGGTACAGTGCCTCCTGCAAAAACCATGGAAAGCATGAAATGTCCTTAGAAAAAAACCAGGCAACAAAAAGGGATTCAGCTTGGCACTGAAGCCCAGCAAATCCGAGATGCTGATGGCCTCTGCAGAGTCTTTTGTCTCTCTCCTCCTCCCTGGTCACTTCCAAGGGCACCTGAGGTTTGGGGAAAGAGCAGTTGCAGTTCCTGAGAGTCCCTAAGTTATTGGTCCAAAATGTTGGCTGGTTTTGGTAGCTGTGGGTTAGCTGTAGATGTGCTCTGGGGTGTGTGTGCTGCCTTTTGTTAGAGGTCAAACATCTTTGGTTGGAACTGCCACAGCATCCCTTGTGCTTGAGTTGGGACATCTGCTTTGTTCCCATTTTTTGGATAATTTTTTGCCTGTAAGGCTGGACTTCAATGCTGAAATCCATGTTTCTTGTCTAACTGCCATGTTTTTTTCTGCTCAGGATCAAAGGCTGGTGGGTGTCTCATCACTACGTTTCCACGTTCCTGTCTGGAGTGATGTTAACTTGGTGAGTCTGCTCCTGCCTGCTCGAGGTGCTTCAAGCCTGTTTCATGGTGTTTATATCATCTGAGCATTTAAATCCGGTGTGACCATGAAGCTGTGGCCACAGGACGCATGGCAGAGTGTCAGCCTTAATATTTGTTTGATGTTACAGATGTTTTCAGTGATAAACACAACACTGCAAGTTTGTATTTACATTGCTAGTTAAAAAAAATAGAAATAAATGCAAACCCTGTGTCTGTAGTTGGGCTGTTGATAGCGAAATCTCTGTAAGTCTCCCAGTTTCTGTCTCTGTAATTAAGGAGACAAGCAGCACTTTGCTATAGAGGAAGGACACCACAAAATGAATGCTTGGTGCCTTTTCTGAGCCTTGATCACAGAGTTTAAAGCCAAAAATGCAAGTTACTGCCTTGCAGTGGGTGGTGGTGGTGGTGGTTGGATAACCCACGATGCACCCCCCGTGCAACCTGTCTCAACTTGGGCATGAAGTGATGAGTTAATTATTAAAAATTGTTTTAAAACAACAGAAGCTTCTTCTTCTGTATCTGTAAGGGGCTGACATAGTGGCTGGGTCAGAAGGTCTCTTGCCCTCCATCTATCCTGAACTGCCCTCAGGATATGTAGCACAACCACCCCCTTTGAGTGCTCGCATTCTCGATGCAGATAATGCCGAATGGCTTTGCTGCCTGGAGAATACTGATAATGGATAAGAGGGGACAGCATTTATCCTTGTTAGAGAGGGGAAACCTAATCAATGAGAGCAGTTCCTGTGTGGCTGTAGCACCTCTCAATGGGTGGAATGGGCTGGGTACCAGCTGCTGGTTCATTTGCTAATGGGATCAGGCCTGGTGGTGAAGGGGAAGGGTTGGATGCATTGGATGCTTTTAGCAAACTAATGGACCTCCCCTGTGTTCTGCTTCCAGGCCAGATGGACTCATGTATCAGATGTTTCGCAGTCAATTTTTAGCATTTTCAATATTTCAGAGTGAGTATATCTTACCTTGCTAATTCAAGGGATGAATTAATTTTGTGTCATACGTGCTTAGAAGAAAACACTTTTGTTTGGTAAATACTGGAATATCAAACTGTAGGAATATAAAGATAGTGTACAAATATGAAATCCGTAAATATAAGCAATAATTAAATGCTGTTGGATTAAACAGCAAGTTGGATTATTAAAGTAGTTTGATACTTACCACACTTCTGAATAACCAATGTAGTGATGTTTTCTCTCTCCTTCTCCAGGCTGTGTTCAGTTCTTACAGTATTATTACCAAAGGGGCTGCCTCTATAGGCTCCGGGCTTTGGGGGAGAGAAACCACTTGGACCTTACAGTAGGTGAGGTCTCCTGCTATGCTTTTTTTGCCCTGCTTCTGCACAGGTTTTGGATGCACTGATAGAGAGGGAGAGGGCTGTGTGCCCTGACATTGCAGAGCTGTCCCCTGCCCAAGGCAGGAAGGGTAGCGAGGCTTTTATCCCCCTCCTTGGGTCCTGTGGGTCAGGAGCAGAAGAATCTGTGCTTTGTCAGCATTTGAGGAGACTAAGATGGAGGTTTTAGTCATCCCCAACTTCATCCTTCTCCAACTACAGCAATTTCAAGAAAATATTTTTACTCGATAAGAATAGCCCTCATGGGGTGGTCTGGATGGGGAACAGCTGTAGGTCCAGTCCTGGCTCTTCATGCTCATGCTCTGTCTCTTCTGTCAACCTTTTCCAGAAGGATTTCAGTCCTGGATGTGGAGGGGACTGACATTTCTCCTTCCCTTCTTGTTCTTCGGGCATGTAAGTTGGATGATGCTCTCCTCCCTCTGCAGCACAGTGTCTGCTGCTGCACCCCCCCGCAAAGGTGCTTTGGATCACACGCAACCATGATGAATGTTTCCAAGGTTTAATTCTTTTTGCTTGTAATTAAGTTGCCTTTTTCTTTTCCCCTTTGCAGTTCTGGCAGCTATACAATGCAATCACGCTTTTCAGATTGTCAAGGCACAAGGAATGCAAAGAATGGCAGGTGCGTGTTGGCTCTGCTCAGAAGCAGAACAGAGCAGGGCAGAGAGGGGGTGCTTGACCACGTCCTGAAAGATATTTGGGCATCTGACTTCATTCAAATATCTCAGGATAATGCAGCACAGGTCCTGTTCTGTGTCTGGCAGAGCCCAGCAGTACTGAATATAATCCATGTTGTAATATTACAAGGTAATAAATGCTGCTTCCTCTCCCGTTTCAGGTTTTTGTGTTGGCTTTCACATTCCTGCTGCTCTTCCTCGGGAACTTCCTCACTACTCTCAAGGTGGTGCACACTAAACTCCAGAAGAACAAAGACAAGGTGAAGAAGCTGTGACTCCCCCTGTTCCCAGTGTGCATCCATCCCTCTGCCCCCAGCAGGGCTGGGTTTGGGACAGATCCTATTCAACCCCAGCCAGGCGATGGATGGGCTCGGAAAGACTCTCCTGTCCCTGTGTTTGGTGAAGGACTCTGCCAGCACAGACTCAGTATTAATGCAAGCATGGCTCTCCAGTCACACTCCTGCTATTTATGTATATTTAATATAAAATGTATTTGCTTCTGTATATAGAGCAGCATGCACCTGGCCTGGCAAAGTGCCAGCGTTGGGGAAAATGTGGGATCTACTGTAATTCCAATTCTGGAATGATACCTGACACTTTCCAGTTTTATTATTTAAATTCTGGGTTTTGAATTTATTGAGATTTATGAACACTCTGGGTGGATCAGTAATACAGAGCGAATGCTGTTTTTTAAGGCATTTGTTTAAGGCATATTCTCAGTGGCAATACTAACTATGTGTACTGTGAAAAGAAAATGCTCATCTTTGTACCATACTGCTGCTATATACACTTCTAAAAAGCTATCTAAAGAAGAGAAATTCCTCCTTTGGGAACAAAATCATGCAAGCAAAAGCAGTTTTTAAATGGCAGGGATGTCTGCTAGCCCTTTTCCAGGGAGACCAGGTCATTTGTCCAGGCCTGACAGGACCTAAAATAAACCATTCAATATGCAGCTGCCTCTGCCCCTTTTTGTAACAAACACACAGCCCTTGGGTTGGTTTTTGAGGCATGGTTCTGGAAAGGGGGAGGACAGGCTCAGCTCAGATATTAAATACTGTCTTTAGATGCTGCACTTGTACCAGTGCTGAAGAGAAGGGAAACACTGGGTCAAGTGGATGGCAGGGGACAAACACTGACTGCTACCCTGCTACAATCTTTGTGCTGCTTGACTTTACAGTCACTCATTTGAACACCCTTTTTGGGTGCTGTACCTTCTGTACCTCCTCAGGCAGCTGCAGAACTGAGCTGCCTTGGGCCGTGTCTCTCACAGCAGTGAAGGCTCGCTTTGAGCCAGCACAAAGCCCAAACTGGGCACATTCTCTGGCAGAGTGAGTGGAAAACAGTGCCCTCCTCCCCAGTCTGCTCACGAGGGGACAGATAATGCACCACAGGCTTGAGTTGGATTCATCAGTTCCATTGCTGCAAAGTAGCAAAATTACCTTTGCCATGCCACTGTCCTGTGGGCGTGAACAATAAACTGCAATTTGCATATTTTCAACAGTTTTCACACCAGTTGGGCTGTATTTTGCTGTTTATGTGATCTGTTGTATTATGCTGGAACCTGGTTCTGGCAGGGGTGAGTAACGTGAGTTCTGCAACCTGAGAAACTCAGATTAAAAAAGCCAGAGAGATTTCCACTGTGGAGCTGATGGTGAATGGGTCACTTCCTTAACACTGGTGTTTCAGTTCTGTTCTGGGTGAGGTGAAGGGTGGTTCTTTTAGTGACACATGAAGAAAAGGCTGCACAATTCTTCAAGGTTTTTGTATAGTCAAGGATGTGCACAAACTTCCAATTAATTAAACTTCCCATTTTAGGCTCATAGGTATTCACAAACCTTAATTAAATCAAAACAAGTTAGGAGAAAAATGAAAATAAAAAGATTTTTCAAGGGTCAAGATCTGTTTACTCTGCATGTAAAACAATAATGGTGGCTTGCTCCAAAACAGTTTTGTACCAGCTGGTCACATACAGTTTGCCTTACACAGAAAGCTTTCACCTGTACTGCAGGAGTCTCATTTCCCCTCTCAGGTTTGCTTTCTGATGACTACAATCAGATCTCGGTGAGGAGATGTGCAAAAGAACCAGGAGGTACGAGGCACATGTACCAGGTGTGCAGTGGGAGCCTCCCTGATCCTTAGACAACTGACACCTTCGTCACAAAAGGAAGAATTTTAATTTATACCGGTAGAGATGATTTCATGAGTGAATGAATTTTTCCTTCAGTGTGCACCATGATTTGCATCTGTCTTGCATTAAGCTGTAAATGTTTATCATAAAACTGACTTAACATTACATGTAGTAGCTGCTTGGAGTACTTCTAAATTTAAGTGCTGTAAATTAACCATTTCCCATGATACTCCACTATTTAATTGGAGCAACTGATGTATTTCCATTGATAAATGCCACTTTCCATTCCAGCAGCAGGCCTTGAAGAACTCTGAGGTGCAGGTCTGCAGAGCTGGTCCAGGGGGTGGTGGATGTTCCATCTGCACTCAGGGGGCAGCTTGAGGCCAACTCAGGCCATTGTCACCAAGTTAATTAACTTGAAAATGTTAAGACAAAAACTTTTTCTGTTTCTTCAAAGGTGCTTGATAAGCTGCTTTAACATTGCTTCTGGAATATATAAGTTTTCTACTGGAAAAAGGCAGTAAATTGTAGCTCTAATGTGCCACAATTATTTTGCAGAGGAAGAAAAACCCCAACACTAAGTTATATAGTAGCAGTTGCTGTTCATTGCAATTGAACAGTGAATTGTCACACTTGGAAGCAAAAGCCAGATGGGTGAAGGCACACAGCATGAGTTAACTGTGATAAACAGCTTTGAAAACTCTGAGAACAGTGTAACAAAAGTACAAAAATACTAAAAATAATTAAAATTTTAAAATAAAAATTATCCTAGGAATACAAACATGTAAAAAAAAAAAGTTTTTAAAGTTAAACTGTTTATAAAATCTGAATCACTTGGTTCTTTTGCAGTCCAAATCATAACACTGAGCACACTTTCTGTTTCCTGTGGCGCTTGGCTTTCTTCATGGCACCCAGTGCAATGGTTGTGGCTTCTTTAAAAACATTTTCTATGTTCTCACGACATTTTGCTGAGCATTCCAGGTAAATTTCTGCGTTAATCTCCTTGCAAGCTGCCTCACCCTAGGAAGAACAAAAAAAAGGTAAGAAAAGATGTAAGTTTGGTGGATGAGAAAAGGAAAGTGAATTGGGAAGAAAGGGAATTAATTTGTACATCTTTGCAATTGTGAAGAAAGAAGCTGCCTCTGAGTGCAGTGCTAGAGTGTGAGTGGCATTGGTAATAAACTGAAGCACTGTAAATAAACTTGGGTTTTTTCCACTATGCTGAACCAAAGCCTGGCCTAAGAGTTCAGAGCATTAGAGACTCTTGAGATGCAGAGTCCTGATAGCACAAAAATATTCTCAGTATTGAATTTCTTTAAACTAAATGCTGAGGTAGGTACTTAAGTGAGGATAAGATGTCTACATGGTGGTATTTTTTTCAGGCCTGACCTTAACTATTCTGTAATGTCACTTTTAGTAATGAATGTCACATGCAAGAACAGAATCCGCCTTGTTTTGCCAGTGCACATGCAGGAACCTTGACTTTTGCTTTGAAGCATCACAAGGGCTCAGCCAAAATCCTCATAAAAACAAACGGGTGCCTGCATTTCTCAGCCATGCAATGGGAACAGGCTTGAATCTAAAATATTTCCATGCAATGCTGGTTGTGTGAAATCACTACAGACAAAGCACAGTGATTTCTTACTTGTGATCCTTTTATTGTCCCTGCAGAGCCAGCCCCCAGGTTTGAATGCTTGTAAGCCTTTTACTGTGAATTCCAGATCTGCAACCCATGGCTTACAGACTCTGCATTTATTCATTACAGTCTCTGGGAGTGGAATCACTTGGGCTTTTATTGGGAGAGGGGGGATGTTTCTTCATATTTAAGCAGTTTGTTTCCTTCCAGTTGTTTGCAAGCTGCAGTGGTGGCAGATACTGTTCAGGTCCTCTGATGGGAAGCATCATGTCATGTGCCATCAGCTGTAAAAAACTGAGGTAGAGCGTATTTAGGGAGGAAAAACCAAGTGAAAGGGCTCACATAGGAGACAAAGTTTGTATAACATGTGCGTCCTTGAGTTTAACTGCACGAGGCCTCAGCAGACTCAGAAGTGTCTGTTGCTTGCCTGGAACCTCTCTCATGTGAGGATGATGAAGGGATTTATTCATGCAAACAAGGGACAATCTGCAAGTGCTCACAATGACAGGCTGTGACCGCATCTTGTGTGCAAAGGAGACAAACTAATAGGCCCAGCATGGTTTCATAGTGATGCAGTTGCAGTTTATTTTCCTGCTGTTTAGAAGAAGTGGTGATTCACTCAAGGTCGTAGTGCACTTGACCCTGTTCCCTGGACGTGTGTCTCAGTTTAAAAGCTGCTGTTCTTGCTCTGAGGTGAGAGGAGAAGGATGGCTTTATAGTTCAGAAAAAAGAAAAAGAAAAATTGAAGGACCAGAGCAGAAAGGTCTTGTGTGACATGGGACAAGCTGTTCCATCACTGTTTCTCCTGTACCTAGGACAGCTATGCCAGTGACATAATACTACTCATAAATCTCTCTGCTTCATAATACTTAGTTACTGATAATATTTTTCTTAAGATTACTTTAGACACTTCAAAGAACACTCTCTCATGTCAGAGAAACCTTGCAGATGTTCTTGCTATTGGCCTTGAAAGAATTTATTTTTAAGTAGGATTTGAAAAACACATTTATTCCAGAACAGTCAGTGTATTTAATACTGGAATTGTTTCCTAACATCTCCAATCTTTATCACAGTACTTATCAAAGCACCAGTGATGGCTGCAATGTAGGCTAATAACAATTATGAAGACCAGCAAACTTGTTAAGGCTTACAAACTTGTAACAGTAATAACCCAGCTATGAAAGAAGAATGAGATGTAATGAGCATAGAAGGCAGATAGTTGTGTCCTTTAAAACTGCTCATATTTCTCTTTACTTTGGCATTAAAAATGGGTGGTGATTTGATCACTTCCAAAAAGAACTTACAGAAACCTCTGTTAGTGCTGCCAATCATTTCTTTATCTGGATCATCTAATTTTGCAATGTCTGTGATGACAACTGTGAGGAGCAATGCCATCACGTGCTTTATCTCCTGCCAAGAGGCCACCACTTTAGAAACACTGATGTTTACCTGGTTGTAGGTGATGGGTTCCTGCTTGGCAGCCCTGAGCTTGCGCAGCTGCTCCTTGTCCTTCCGAAGGTCTGTCTTGCAGCCGATCAGCACAAGCGGGACACCCCGGCAGAAGTGATTCACTTCAGGATACCACTGGGGGTAGAAAAACAAAACTTTTACATCTGGCTTTTATTTTGTTGTCTGTTTCCTGAAATCAAAACAATACAGCCAAGCAGCATTTAATGTAAGCTGCAATTTCAGAGCTTTGGAGTTAGTCTGGTGGGGAGGAGGTGGGGGGGCAACATGCACTGTTTACATCCCAGAAATGTTTAAAAGTCCTACCCAAAGTCAGCTGTTTTATAAAAACATAGTGACATGTGTCTCTATGCCAAAATGTTTATTTACCATCTGTTTAAATTCTGAGGAGCTCCTCTAAAGTCACATTTTAAAACAGAATTTGGTCTAAGTCTTGCTTTTTTTTCCTGGTGCTAGGTTCAAGAATGCTTTGGATCACAGAAATCCCAGCACTCACCTCTCCCCTGCAATTAAATACACATGTGATGGAAGTAGTCTTGACTCTAAGATGTGCAATGTTGGTTGTGTGACATTGCTACAGTGATTTCATTGCTGGTGTTTGATCTTTTTAGTGAGAGTCAGCCCTGGTTCTGAGCACTTAGCAGCCATGGTGAGGTGAGCTCCAGGTCTAAGGTCTGGGACCTGCAGCTCAGCGCATGATGAGTGATCTGGGCATATACAAGCCCATGGTACAGGACACTAAAAGCACCAGCATTTCTAATCTGACATCTTGTCATATATCAGGCATGTGTAACTCATTTAGAAGCCTCTTACCTTGGCTGCTACATTTTCATAGCTAGTGGGGTTCATGACATCGTAACAAATTAACACGACATTGGTATTCTGGTAAGAAAGTGGCCGTAGCCGATCGTAGTCCTCCTGCCCTGAAACACACAGGATGATTTGGATGAAGAAATCTCTGTCCTGAACAAGCAGAACAATGGGGATATGTACAGACATGTACTTGTGATCAAGAACAATGGTACTATCATTGTACAGACTGCAAATTAAAATTCCATCTCTTGAGCACAGGAGATTCCCCCTCACTGACAAAACCGACGGTTTAGAATACAGAACACATCCTTGGTGGTTTTTAATAAAAAGCCTGCTTTGTCCACTTGCTGAGGACTTAGGAGCAGTTCTAAACACTGACCACCAAGTTGCTGCTCAAAAATAAAGTCATCAAGAGGAATCTGACAATTATTATTAAACATTTTCAGTTTGACAGTGGCAGTCCCCAAAATCATTTGCACATGTGATACTGTGAGGAGAAGAAACACTGTATTTGCCAGACAGGAATGGTGAAGTAGAATCCTGTGAAGTGGCAAACTTGCTTTTCCCAGCCTGGTGAGCTGAGAGGAAGCAGTGATTACACACAGGATTGTATAAGCCATGCTGCAGCATGAGCCAGGCCTTTGAAGCAGGACTCCCCAGCAGATCTAAGGAAATTCTGCTGAATTCTGGAAAAGCAGGGGATTTGTCATACTTCTGATTAGGGATATTCTAGCACATGATGTGACAAGAGGAAGCTGATTTGCTTCAGACTTGTACTCTTCCCCTTACAGTAATCACTGTGCCAGGGTCTGAAGGTGTCTTGCTTTGAGAGATTAAGGTCAAGAAAGCAGTAATTCCCAGATACAGCTGGCAGCTCAGGAAAAAAAAAACCCAATCTTTTTCCTTTATTAAGGAAGAAAGCATGATTCAAGCAGTCTGTAGAAGGTGTATTTATCATCTGGAGGCTGGAATCAGATAAGTGCCTGTGATGTACTGAATTTCCATGAGAAGGACTGGGAATGCTGGGAATTCCTTCCCACTATCATCACAATCCACACACAGACCAGAAGGTGCCCTACAGGGAAGTTCCACATCTCAGATCTTCATGTTGATATTTCAAATGAAGAAATGCAGAAAATTTCAGTGTGCCCCAACTTTACAGCAACGATTCTTACTCTGGCACCCACCTCAGTCCAAAATCATGTACTCATCACTTGCCAACACTTTTGTTTCCAGTCTGAAGAACTGCAGATACCAGAAGGCAAATAATACAACAGTATTTTCCTCCCTTCCTTAGTTTAAATGATTGGTTGAGATACAGTTTATTCCAAGGAAATCCCTGCTGGATAAGCCATTACTCAGTTTGCCTGAGATGTTTGTACAATGGGAATCTTGGATTTGGACCACTTTGTATTTGAGCCTCCACAAGAGCCATGTGCTCTATGGGGAGGTGCAGAACAAAGAGGGATTGATCTCTCAGGGTTTAATCCAGAAATAATACACAATTGGCAAAATTATGCATGTTGTATAAACATTCAGAGCAAAGACTGTACTGCTTATCCCTTCTTACTCTCCCAATCCATCTAGTTGTTTGCAACCGATTTGCCGTTTTGTTGCTGAGACAATCCCTTAAACACATCAGGTGCCAAACCTTTTTTTCCCTCCTAACTTCCACTAGTGTTGTGTAAAGTTTTCCTTGTTGAAGTTCAGGCCTCTGAGTTTCTAACAACATAGCTTGTAAAATTAAAAGGTCCTCCGAGTTGTTGGCAATTTGTGAGGTAGACAGGGTTGTCCCATTGGGAGAATCATGTTTATTTGCTTGTAATCAGAACAAACCTCTAAATTCACACTCTCCTGGATGGGATAACAGAAAAAGTGTCTAATTATGTGACACAACATGTTGTATTGCAAGTCAAAAACTACAGATATACCCTGGCGAACTGCTCCTTCATCTTTAAATCTAGCTTTGCAGTTATGGGGTTTTAAGCAAACAATAAATGCATGAGAAAATGCTGTATAAAACATGGCTACGTTTGGAATATTGGATACAGAGCACAGGACAGGGCGGGGTGCAGAGAGCAGAGGGGGAAGGTAAGGTGGCAATTGCTTAACCTATATTACAGTTGGATGGTTGCAGCACTCACAGGAAAGGAAAAGGAAGCTGCTTTTTAGGAGCTCAGATGCAGCTCCTCAGCTGCTGAGGATGTAATGGGACCCAGATCAAGCTGTGTCTAAACATAGACATCCCCCTCTCTGAAAACAATCCCTTTCACCCCTTGTCCTCAAGTGCTGCTGGTGAAATGCAAGAAAGGGCCTGAGAGACTTTTTTTTTTCCCTCTGTAAAGCTGCTCAGTCTGTGTTCAGAGCTAATTTGGCACAGATTTAGGTATTTTTACTAAAAGAGCTTTAAAAAGGAGGAACAGGGGTGAACCTAAACAGTAACTGAATGTCTGTGCAAAGCCCTGTGAGTGCTTCCTCCAACACAGGTAGCTGTTTTCTTTCCCCAGTTAACACAAAACATGCTGTGGAGGAGTTGGTTAAGTATCTGCCTACGTGTGAGCACATCTGTGACCCCTCTGTCTTCCTCAATTCATTGTACCATGAGAGACTTCGGGTTTTTCTAAAGAAAAAACTCCACCCAACTGAATTCACCTAAAATTTGCTAATTCTCTGCCAAGTTCCCAGTCCTGCGTGCCTCTGGGAGATGCTGTGTAACCACATCACTGCAGTCAGGCCCTGAGGTGGGGAGGGAGCTCTGGTGATGGCTGGGGGTAAACAGAAGTGAAACCACAGGTCTCATGTGCATGTTAACCTCTCTCTGCTCTTCCTCACCCCTTTGCCCATTCATCACCAAAGAAGTGCCAGCCTGTGAGCTGCTAGCCAGCTATGTTTTTTCCCTATTCAGTTTAAAACAAATTGGGAAACAGACATTCTTGGCAGGAAGAAAATTAGTAGAAGAGGATACTTGGGGCAGGAGGGGCAGACATAAATTAAAAAATTGGGGGTTTTGTTTTACTCAGCCATGAATTCCCTGTTGAAGTTATGAGAAATTATTCTTGCATTCACTGGCTTTTAAAATTTCCCTGAAGACCTCATGCTTCTGTCATCAGAGACCTGAAAAACCTCGCTGGAGGCCTTGCATGTGCTTCCTGTCAGGCAGAGCAAGAAGCCACAATGATGAGGCATTACTTCCTCCCCAGCTCAGCAGTGCTCTGCTCTCTGTTCTGAGAAACTCCTGCACCAGGAATTGAGCCTCGTGTCTGAACTGCACCTAGAGCATTGACACTGCTCCCTTGGCATGGAAAAACTACAGAGTTCATTTACCTCGCAGTGCCTTTGCCTCTGTCAAGCACAGCTGGAAATGGAAAATTTTAATTGAAAAAGCAGCTGCAAAGGTTGTTTGCAGACTAGACAAGTGACATTATAAAGCCATTACACGTATGTGTACCACCAACTTCCTGCAACAGCAAGAAGTGTTTGATGAGTAAGACACAGTAGGACAATGCACAACTCTCATCAAAAATTCTTTTTCTGGTACATTTTAGACTAACCCATTAAGTTCATTTGTTACCGAAATTCTTGTCAAGAAAAGAATAGCTTTTGTATCTTGAAACATTTGTTTCTTAAAGCTTTTTGTTTGTGTCCTCCTTCCCTGTAAGTAGGACAAGCTCAAAGGGTCGAGCTGCACAGGACTTGACAATACAAAGAATCCTTCCAATTTTAAGCAGCCCATGGAGCTGAACCTGTCCTTTACCTTCCCATGATGCTGAAGTACACCCAGCTCTATTTAGTGTTGCTCCAAGAAAGATTCTAAAAATACACAACTCTTGGTCATAGTCTAACCCTTAAGGAACTCAATATCAGTTTTGTTATATTAAAAACAGGATGAGATTAAAATGTGTGCTCAAGTGAGTCCTTCCTCTAGCAAAATTTCCAGTTACAGAAAGAGGCTGTAAAGCTGCTTGGATTAGAGTTCAACAGAGTTTACAGATATGTAACATAAAACTATGTAAGCAGGTCTGAAACAGAACCAAAATTCAGGTTTTCCCCCCTCACAATCAAATGTCTTAACCTGGGTGACAATCTTCCTGCTTCCTTTCTTGCTGTGTGTTATGGAAAGCGAAAGAAATTTAACAGGAAGGGAGGAGACAAGTGTCAACAGCCTCAAGAAATTTGTAGCCTTGTGGCCATGGTGCTGTTTTGGGAGGTGAAAAATGTTGGGTTTCGAGGTTTCCAGATGAGAGATGGAAAGCAATTGCTCTTTCATGGCAACAATGGCAGCTCCACTTCCCAAAGTGTCTCACGAGATAGAAAATACACCCCACTGTTCTTCTGTGGGGCAGTGCTTTAGTCCAAATCAGTTTCTACAGCTGATTTCAATGTGGAAGGTACACACTGCCTGCTGCATGCATGAACAGGGAAATTACAGGACATGGGTTAATGGTTTTAACTATCAGAGGGCCGACTTGTGATAGACAAAAAGGAGAATTTTTTCACAATGAGGCACAGACTGCCCAGAGAAGCCGTGGCTGCTGTCTCCATGAAAACATTCAAGGTCAGCTTGGAAAGGGCCCTGAGCAACCTGATCTAGTTAAAGATGTCCTTGTTCATTGCACAGGGGCTGGTCTAGATGACCTTTAAAGGTCCCTTCCCACCCAAACTCTCCTGATTCTGCGGTAAGCCACCAGCACCAGGCTCAGTGAGTGGTCCCTGGGCTGCTGGTGGCTGCAGGTCTTGTGCAAAGCTAAACTCAGAGACACAAAGAGCTGTGCACTCCTGCCAGGCTTGGGAGAGCTCGGTGCTGCAATGCTGGACCTGCCCAGCCTATTCCCATCTCCAGATCCAGCCCGTGCTCCTTACAGCCTGGAAGAGACTCCAAAGGCAAATGCTGGAATGTGTGGCACAGGGATTTTAAATGAGAGCTAGGAACTATGTGACAGGCAAAAAACCCCCATTGACAGCAAACAAACATAAAAATGATGAGTGCAGTGGCAGGTTCCTGGTGCCAACACCTTGTATTAACTCTTTGGTTGCTCACACCAGATTCCAGTCCTTCTCTTTTCCTCTAAGACTTAGACCCAAACCCCTTGCCCTTCAGCAGAAGGTATGTTATCCCACTTAAATGGACTTAGAACAGTAACACTGACACAAGAAGACACATTGGCAAATTGGGTGCTCTGGATCTTACTACACTGTAGTAAAAATTAGCAGTGAAATTCACTTCTAGATTAAAAGCTTTTTAAATTATGTTTTCAGCTATCACATGCAGTATACAAGAAGGTGTGTCTTATTACTATTAAAAATGACTGGACTGCATTCAGATTTTATTTGTCTTTGGTGTAAATTTGGAACAACTTCACAGGCTTGAACTGAAAGAGATGATTTACACTGAGCTGAAACGGAATACATGTCAATTTTAGGGTTCATTTAGGAACACAGCTGGATAACAGTCCGGGAACTTTGAGCGAATTTGAACACAAACCATTTCACAAGTTCTTCAAATGAACCTGAACAACTATCAGCATTTTCTAATAACTTTTGCTGCCACGGCCTTTTGAACAGAAACTAGCCTTTTTCTCCTTCCCTATTCAATCACACATGGCAGCAGATTAAAATATTTTCCTGGTTGATTGTATTATGCTTTGCATCTGGGAATTGAGTTTTAATACTTCCAGATATGTTTGCTATTTGATGTTTCTGAATTAATTGGGTTGTTAAGATAATGAATGAGTCAATGACCAGAGTTGCCATTAGACAACTGATCCTTTTTTTTTTCTGAAAGGCACATTGATATGCAACAGGTAATGATGGTTGGTTTGTTTGTACTTTAGTCTCTAGAAGTGTCACCTGCAACGCTGTGGTTTAACTATGCTGGTAGAGAAGCAAATTGAAAATCTATCCATCTTTACAGTCTTCAGATATTGGTCTGGTTTAAGCTGACAGTGAAATATTTGCTGTAACAGAAATGGAGGTGCATTCACTGGAGCAACATTTTACAGCAGTACAATTTCTACTTATTTGCCTGAAGTTACGAAAGGCTGGGCCGGGTTTGGGCTCAGTCCCAGGCCAATGTCCGTGAGTGGTGCCATGGCAGTGGCCGCACAGGCGCTGCCCCCCGGCTGGCATGGGGAAAGAGGAACCCCTTACCTGCGGTGTCGTACAGGTTCAGGGTGACCTCCTTCTTCCCCACCGTCACACTCGTTGCGTACTTCTCAAAAACGGAGGGCGCGTATTGCTGCAAAAGGAGGAGAACGATCTCGGTGATCTCAGAGGCCTTTTCCAAGCTTAGTGGACTCTGTAATTGTGAGAAGCGGTGCTGGCGGGGCCCAAGCGCTGGAGCCGGCCCCGGCTGCGGCCCCCATCCCCTTGCGGGTGGCAGCCCCTCACCTCGGGGAAGGAGCCCTTGGCGTACACCATCAGCAGCGAAGTCTTCCCGCAGCCTCCGTCGCCCACGATCACCACCTTCACCTCCTTCCTGCCCGACGGGGCGGCCGCGGAGCCGCGGGGCCGCTCCGCCGCGCCCTCGGGCACGGCCCCGTTGGCCGCTTCCATGGAGCGGGAGCGGAGCGGGCCGCTGAGGGCGCAGCGCGGCTGGGACGGGGCTCCGCTCCCTCTCCGCGCCCGGGGCGGGCAGAGCCGCCCGCGCCCAGCCGGGGATTGGCCGCGCCGAGGCCGCCGCCGCCTCAGGTGCCTCAGGGCCCCGCCCGGGCCCCCCGGGACACTGGGGGAGCCTTTCCTGGAGGCCGAACCTCATCGCCGGCCCGGGGCCGCCCGCAGGCTGCGGCTGCTCGGGGTCATGGCGGGAAGGCCCCTCAGGGCCGCGTCCCCTCAGACCCACCGGGGCTGCTCCGTCCGCCCGTCCCGCCGGGAATCCCTCAAGGCTTCATGCCCCGGTACCATCGGGCCGAGTCCCTTTGCCCTTCCACCCACACACCCCATTCCCATCTATTTATTTATTCCCGTTCGTTTATTCCCACAGGAAGCCCCTCCAGTGCCGCGCTGGGTCCCTCCAAGCGGCCAGCGGTGAGGGACCGCTCCAGTTCAACGCCGATGTGTGTCCAGCCCCGAGGGCCGAGCGGTGCCAGGCACGGTGAGGGCAGGCAGAGACCCCCGAGGCACCCCCGGAAAGGCACCTGGCACTCACTGCCTGTTCTCTGCTGATTTATTGCTTGGCTAAGAACCGACAGCTCTGCTCATCATCTGCTCACCCACCCAAGGTGAGATGCAATGAGAATAACTGGAATTTCTCATTTTAATCGCAGAGATGTGGTGGCCCCAGGCTTCCACGTGGCATTCTTTGCTACCATGGAACGCAGGGCATCACAACAGCTGGGTATGTTTGGCTCTGGAAGGGAATCACAACTGCTGGATTATGTTTGGTCCCAATGCACAAGTCAGGGGAGTGACACTGAATTTTGGACTCGGGTGCAAATCTACCACCATTCAACACTAAAAAAGCACGTTTCTTTTCTGGCAGAAATTAGCAGTGTGCTCTATCTTAAGTAAGTTTGTTTTTAAGAAATAAAATTTTCCTTTATTTTTTTTTTATTTATTTTTTTTTTTAAATACCACTTGTGAGAATAGCCACAGAATCCTAAGGATATGTTCGGGTGTAACAAGACTGTTTAATTCAACTAAGAAAAAAACCCCAAAACCACAATTCGAGTAGGGCTTTTCATTTTCCCCTGCGCGGTTGTGTCACTAGATGGCCTTCCAGACCCAATACAAACACCACTGCACTCGGGCAAGGAGGATCCTGCTTTGTGCACAGGGCAAACAAAACGCTAGAAAAGGATATTTCTGCAAAAGATCAGAAGAAGGACCTGTAATATCCAAAAAAGTGTCATATAGCTCAAATTATAATAATAAAAAAGCGATCAAATTCACACCTATATCAAATTCACCATTTTATTGAGGAAAAAGTGGATGCAAGCATGTAGAAACTGTCAAAAAGTGTTTTTTACAAGCCACAGTCTTATGAATCTTATCTGGAACACAGGAAAAGCCATCAGCTCCTGTCCACTGTAATGGCTGAGAGCATTTCAGTGACACAGGAATGGATGGGCCAGGAAAGAATTTGTTTTGTCCTGAAATGATTTATTTGGACCTGGCTCAAACCCAGTATCACACTATATATGATACAATCAGCAGGTACAGTTAGCAGTCTTCCTGTAACTGAAGAATTCAGGGGTTTTTTTTGCAAGTCAATTATTGCCACAAAGGGGATTTTTGGGGGGGATAAAAATATTTTGTGGTTAATTATTAATTTGTGAGGGGTTGATTTTTCTTTTTGTTTTTGGGCTTTTTCCAAGTCTCGCGAAACAATCTTTACATTTCTCATAGCTTTGTCCTCTTGTACATTTTATACTTATGAAACTTTTAGATTTGTACACCTTTAGATTTGGGATGAAACAACATAAAATGAGCAGATTACAAATACAACTGTAAACACTCCAAAGACTGTTTTTAAGTAATGAATGTTCTACTTGTAATGAGTCTACTTTGTATGGATGAAGTACAATATTTCAGTGTCTCAGGTACTTAATTTTAATTAACAGCTATGCAGTGCTTCAGGCATATCATTTGGGTTTGAGCTAAAACTGAGCCTATTTTGCTGACTCAAAAAAAAATGCAAAATCTGAAATGGAATGGTGCCACTGATTTAAATGGAAGAAGATTCAACCTTCTATTAGTGAAATTCAAATCTAATCATTACAATAATTGTAAGCGTCCTTCTCTAGTTCTGCTTTGGCCTGTATATTGATTTTGGCACAAGTTCTTTCATCAAAAGCTTACACATCTGCAGCTCAGGGGTCAATGTGTGTGTGGAGAGTCTCAGTGAGCACAACAAAACCAGGGCATTAGTGGGGTATGGAAAATATCCGTGCTCCAATCTTTAGTGCAAATTTGTTGCTTCATGATCACCAATGAAAAAGTTAGGAAGGAGTGAAAGGTTAGTGTGCTGCTTAGGAAATCTGCTGGGAGTTTGTGATTTTTATACTGGATGGTATTGATGGGTAATTCAGGTTAGTTATGAAAACACCCTTAAAAAGACTCACAGATTAGGTTCAATATTGTTTGCACACACCATCTGCTGCACAGCCATATTGTTAGTTTATTTGGTAACACAAACTGGACAAGAATGGGGACCTGTTCTTCCTTATTGTCTTCAGAACTATGTTTTTGAAATACACTTAATTGTTTTCTTCATAACACAGACCCCAGTTTACAAAGACTTCAGCATAACAATAACTAACCCCATTTATGTCCAAGGAAATATTAATAAACTTAGTTAACAAAGTGCATAAGAAGACAGAGCCTTAAATATTTATTTTTAACATTACCAGTGACATTAATTTTTTGTGTTTTCAGCTATTAATTCTCACTACAGCATGTACTGAACAAGAGGAATGCCTTGAAAAAAATCACAATAGGAAAGACAAAGCCTAAGGAATGGGATTTACCAAGTAAGTCAAGTGAATCTCTGATAAATTTCAGATATTGCACAAGGCCAACAATTTCTTGTCATGTTCACACAGACTCTTACTGAGGGAGAGTTTCTGCCCCATGGAATTTAGTATGGATAGGGTACAGAAGGAAGGGGGAATTATGATGTGGGAGAGCTGAACTGCACACAACACAAAGTTCTGGTGACAGAATCATTGTGAGAGGAGAAGCCCATGACAAAGCAGGTGTATACTACTCAAGTGATTCCTCCTGCTTACAGAACAAATGAACAAAATTGTTTTTCAGTTGTGCTTTTGCTCACAGTGCCAACACTGCTCTGACCCTCACCAAACCCGTCACACAATTTCCAAAATCAAAGCTCCCCAATATCCTTGATTTTCAGCTGTTTCTCAGTCTCCATTTCTGCAGCGTTTCTCGCTGTTCCTCTCGCACATGCAGAGCTCAACCATCTGGTCCTCATGGCCTGATATTTTACACACATGCCCCCACCCCAAAAATCCCTTGGGCTACATGATTCACCATCTATTCAAACCTTGCCATGTGCCTGGTTTTTTGTGTATTAGCTCCTACTGATGTAAATCCCTTGTTCCATAAGGGCTCTCAATTGCCTTTTTCACTGAAGGCAAGGTGGCTGTGACACCTGACAGTCTCTGAGACATTTAACCCAACCTAAAACATTATTACACTGTTGTTTGGCTGAGTAGGAACCATATTTTTTTCCCAGTGGGATGTGCTGCCAGAATGGCATTAACTTTCTAGACTATTAAGTAATATGGAAAAATTATATTTCAATAAGAAAATTTCCTTTCTGCCTTTTCATGCCTTAGAAATAGTTCCTGTTTCACTTGGCTCAAGTAGCGCCTGCACTAAATCAGTGCAGAAATCTTTGGATAAACTCTACGTAAAATCTGTCCAAATGCTACCAGGGAGTTCAGAGGGTTGGGAAAGAAAACAGGACAAGGGTCTGCAAGGGGAGGTGTGAGACAAATTAAGACACACAACTCAGCAAAATCAGGCAGAGAATATTCAGGCACTCTGATGTAGTTTGGACAAACTTTATTCATAAACCACATACTCATGACTACCTGGTGAGCAGCTATTTATAGGGAACACAAACTGTTTCTTGGTTATTTTCTCTAGTACTCTTTAAATCAGGGGTGCCACAATATGGCCTACCTGATAAATGCATGGCCATCGTGTTGTGTTTTGAATTTCACCTTTCATTAGAAACTGAGTTCTTGGCTTTGCAGTTGTGTGGGAAAACCACCCTATTTTACAAATCTGAAGTAAATCAACATGGTAAAATGTCATCCTGATACAGTAGGTGCTTAGAGGCAGTTTCAAGTTTCTGTTGCTTACTAAAGCATGAACTCTCAAGCCAAATTCTGTTGTGGAAAATGGGTAACACAAGGTTAGGATCATCCTATGCTTTTCTGGAACATCAAACACAATGAGTAATCTCTGAAAAGTATGAAATGAACAGGCAAGTGTCTGCCAACACCTCCACAGCTCTGCCCCCGTGGATCCTGGGATGTGTGTCTCCCAGATGTGCTGGCATGGCTTCCCTGAGCCATGGGCAGGAATTTGTCACCACAGGCTGGCAGAACTATCACAGCACGCCTCGTTTCAGGTGAGATTTGCAGATGTGTTTGCCTTGAGAGCTGGGCTTGGTTTTGCCATGGGAACAGGCACAAGCAGTGAGTTCAGGAGTGAGGCACAGCCTTGCTCGTGGCTGACAGAGATCAGGGCTCTGCTACAGATCTGCATGAAATTATTCACCATCAGATGTTCTTCTGCATCCAGATCTGCAGCAGAGAACACATCCCATCAGGAAGTAATTTGGGGAAATTTAGGGAAAAAGGCTACAAATAGCTTTGCTTGCAGCATGATCCATTCTTAGCCAGTATCCAACCAATCCCTTTAGTATAACCTCTAAAATCCCTCTGACTTAGGCCTTCCTGTGTTTTCATTACCCAAAACTCCACCTAACCCAGCAAGCACAGATATTATTTTTTTTTTCAAAATGGGAACGCTCTCTGCAGTATCTGCTTCCTTCAGATCACTTTTCCCTTCTCCTTCCCAAA